GAGCAAGACTGCCTTCTCCATCAGAGCTTCCTTCTCTCTTGCAGCTCATACAGTTCTGTTCATGGGCTTTCTTGGCTGCTTCACATTTCTAGTCTGATAAGGCAATCAGCCAGCTCTATGTGTGAAGGGGTTAGGAAGGATGAGGGAAAGGGTGGTGATTTCCCTAGTATTCTGCCAAGCTCTATTCCGACATTCCTTAGTAACTTCTTGGCATTTCCACTATGAGATGGCACACTGAGCACATGTTGTAACCTCCCTTTCCTGCCTCAAATCCTTAGAAATTTGAAAATATCTGAATAAAAATCCAGAACCAAGCAAGAGAAGAAGTGGTAAACTAGACACTCTGAAGACTTCCTGGTGGGACAAGATTAAAGACAAACATTAATGCCTAACAATGCTTCTTAAAAATGAAAGACAGGAAGGTGGTGGATACCAGGAGCAGCAGGGGATCCTGAGGCAAACTCCAGCAGGATACACTGGACTCTTGCAATAGAAACATTTAAGCCAGTGTCCACGTCTGCATCCTCATCCGGAATGCATAGTCAGGCACTGGGTGTGGGCCCTTGGGTCTGAGAACCTCAGCAGTAGCCAGAGTTGCTGATAACATCCAAGAACAGGGAGCCTCCAAGAGCAGAAGATCAGCCCCTGGCACAACCACCTGGCAGCTCCTGCACCTCACCTTACAAGAGCCATCTGTTGTACAACTGAACCGAGCAGCACACCCCACCTCTCCTCCACTATTAGGTGGCAGTAAAACAACATTCCTGATCAGACTAACAGAGAATGTCAAAAATAAAAAATGAGCTTTCAGCTAAGAATCACCACATATTTGAGAATTTTTTTTTTTTAATATTTATTTTTCAGTTTTCGGCAGACACAACATCTTTGTTTGTATGTGGTGCTGAGGATCGAACCCGGGCCGCACGCATGCCAGGCGAGCGCGCTACCGCTTGAGCCACATCCCCAGCCCCAGAATCACCACATATTTGAAGAATGCTAACACCAAGAAAGAGAGTTACCATGCAAATCAGGCAATTCAGACCTTTCAGTTACGTGTAATTTATATTCTCTGAGAGATTTAAGAGGCTATCATCCATGGGGGGAAAAAACAGCTAGATTTCCTAGAAATTAAAAAGCTTGATTATTAAATAAAAAAGTCAATAGCTTAGCCAAATAGCAGGATAGACAAAAGTAAAGAATAAATTAAAACAGAACACTGAATTGAGGAATTCTTTTAAAAAGCAGTCCCAAAGGGCAAAAAGATGGAAAAGTAGTATATATACACTATACTATACACACACACACACACACACACGTAAAAATAATATGGCAAATTTAGAAGTTCCAACATTCATGTAATAGGAATTCTACAAGGAGAGAATAGAGAAAACAAATCATAAAGACTACTCAAAGAAAAGAATAAAAGAGAACAATTTCTTAGAACTTAAGAAACTCCTGTTCTCCTGAGCCTCTCATAGTGTCCCATGCCGGAGCAAACTGTGGCCCTGAATCACTGTCTGGCCTCTGCCTGTAGGCTGCTGGCACTGAAGTGGGTTGCCCAGTAGGAGAAAAAAAATTAAAAAGAAACATATAAGTCTTTAGATTAAAGATATAAAAAGTACAGTGCAATACAAATAAAAAAGGACTGTATCCTAATAAAATTCACTAATCTTGGGCTGGGATTGTGGTTCAGCAATAGAGCACTTGCCTAGCACGTGGGGTTTGATCCTTAGCACCACATAAAAATAAATAAAATAAAGGTATTGTATCCAACTAAAACTAAAAAATAAATATTAAAAAAATTCCCCAATCCTCCTAGCCCTAAATCTGAAACGCAACCAAAGCAAAAGAAAAACCAACAAAAACAGATCATCTTATAAAGGCTTAAGAATCAGATTGACTTCACATTTTAGCAGGTAATGATAAATACCAAAAATACAATAGCTAAAAAACATAAACAACCCAAATGTCCATCAACAGGTGAATGGATAAACAAAATCTGGTATACAAATACAATGGAATATCAACTTTAAGAAGGAAGAGAATTAATGCATGCTAGAACTAGGATTAATCTTGAAAATGTCATGTTAAGTGAAATAAGCTGGACACAAAAGGACAAATCTTGTTTGAGTCCACTTATATAAGATAGCAAGAACAGGCAAATTCACAGAATCAGAGGAGAGAGAGGAAGAAATGGAAGTTAATATTTAATGGGTACACAGTCTGTTTGGAATGATGAAAAAGTTCTACAAATGCATAGTGACGATACTTAGATAATAATTTAAGTGTATTTAATGTCACTGCATTATACTCTCAAAAATAGTTAAAATGATAAATTTTGTGTTATATATATTTACCACAATTTTAAAAATTAAAAAAGTAAACTATCTAATTATCATAGAAGAAATTAAAAGAACAAAGATCTGCATCTAAAATATGTAATACACTCAAATGGTTTTATAGGCATGATCTACCTAGATATCATGGGACACTATCCACAATACATAATTAATTCCTATTAAGCAACCAAGTATGGTGGTGCAAAAGCCTTCAATCATAGCTATTTAGGAGGCTGAAGCAAGAGGATCACAAGTCCTAGGGCAACTTGGGGATCTTAGCAAGACCCTGTCTCAAAATAAAATATAATTAAAGAGAGTTGAGGATGTAGTTTAGTGGGTGGAGTGATTGCTTAGTATGTGTGAAGCCCTGGGTTCTCAATCCCCAGTATCATAAAAGAAAAAAAAAAAAAAAAAGGAAGAAGAATTTCTAAAAATTAAAACACACTTCACCAAGGAAATGTACATAACCAGTCATCAAAAGGAAAAAACATTAGCCTCACAGGTAACCCAGGAAATGAAAAGCAGCACAACTAGATACATTTTTCTTCAATCAGATTGATACAAATGAAAACTGATAGTATCAAATGTTGTTGAAAGTACAGGGAAGTGGGCAGTCATGTCCTTACAGGTGATACTATAAAAATACAAAGCTTTTTTTTGAGGCGGGGGAATAAGTAATAATTATCACAATTTTAAATGTATATAATCTTGTGACTCAATCTACTCTAAAGAAATACTTGAATATGTATGAAAGGAGGTATATTTTAAAAATTAGGAAAAATCTACTGAAATGAAAATGGTTAAATAATCTGTGGACTGTTATACTCTGGAATTCCATGCACAGAATGAGTTAGATCTATACATATTAATGTGGGGGCGGAACCTAAAATATGTTGCTAGGTTGAAAATGAAAAGCAGGTTTCAGAACAAAGTAAGTAGTATAAAGGCATCTACTTAAAACAAAACCACAAAATGCAAGTATAGATTCATGTAAATGAACAAATAAAAATCTGGAGGGCCAGGCAGAGGGCGTGTGCCTATAGTCCCAGCAATTTAGGATACTGAAGTAGGACGATCATTTGGGCCCAGGAAGTTGAGGCCAACCTGGACCACATAATGAGACTCTGTCAAAAAAAGAAAAAAAAATTTCCAGAGGGATAAGCATTAAATTCATAACAGTCACTCTCTATAGGAAGAGTAATGGGATTTGAAGTACAGTTAAAGGAAACTTAAATCTCATTTGTGTTTTTCACTTTTTTAAATGAAGGAGAATGTACACAAGAATTACTTATATAATTAAATATAAAGAAATTTAGGAAAAGAGAAGTCTGGCCACGAACAGTGATGCTCACCTATAATCCCAGCATCTCAGGAGGCTGAGGTAGGAGGATCGCAAGTTCAAGACCAGCTTCGTAACTGAGAGAGACTATATAAAAAATAAAAATAGCTGGGTATATAGCTCAACAGTAGAACACCCCTGGCTCAATCACCAGTACAAAAAAAAAAAAAAAAAGGAAAAGAAAGAAGAAGAAAAAAATCTGCTGCAGTCAGGCCTTACTAAGAAAGAGATTCGAACATGATGGTTGCTGCCCTTTCATTTCTTCTTTGCTGCAAGGAAGGTTAGAATTTGTCAGTCACCATTATCTCTTCCTTAGTGTTTTCTAATAGAAAAGGCAATGAATTAACCACATCTCACCCTCCTTTAGAAGCCTCATATTTCTTTGCTATAAGCATCTATCTTTCTTCTTATTGGATCTGCATTTGAGATTAAAAGGAAACAGTGGTAGGAAGGAAAGAATAAAGTTAGAGAGAAAGTCATAATTTTATCATATCTGAAGTTCTAGTGGCATATTTTCTAAAGATTGTCACAGTAAGGATGGGGATGTAGCTCAGGGATAGAGCATTTACCAGGCATGAGTGAGGCCCTGGGCTTGATCCCAAGCACACACACACACACAAATTGCCCAGCCATACATCCCAGCCTACATGCTCTTTTACCAATGTGACTTCGACAGTTCTCCAATTGAGCAGGTAAGGGAAGAGTTCTTTCCTCTTGAACCTTGAAAGTCTTGTGGCTATAGCAGAAGTGATGCTATGTGGCTGTCAAGGCCAAGTTCTCTTGGGATGCTCATTCTTGGAACCCAGCCATCTTACAATGAGGAAGGCCAAGCAGCCCACAGAGGAAAACAGGGATCCCAGTCCACACCTGAGTGAGCTCCCAGTGACAATGAGCATCAATGTATCAGCCATGAACTTGGTTCTTCCAATTCCCTCTCATGCTGCCTCAGCAGACACTGCATGGAGCACAGAGTTCTCACTGAGCCAGGCCAAGTTTCATGGACAAAATAATTGTTTCAAGACAACAAGTTTTGTGATTTTGTGATTATTTATGACAAGAAAATAACTGGGACAGTTTCCTTCACAAATGTGGACACTAAGAATTTTGCATATATACAACAGTAGCTATCTGACACAGGTAGCTCAGAAGACATTATAAGTGGCATTATAGGGGGATCCCAACATCATACAGATTTAGATTAGATAACAACTGAGGTTGCTTCATACAATAAGATTCAACCATGAGCATGTAGAGCTCAGCGCTTAAGCACTTCCTATGCCATCTTTTCTCAAATGATGACCTTTTCTTCAGTGACATTTTACCTTTCAGAAAGCTGCCGGATCTGTGGAATCCCCATATACTTGTGGAAGTGTTCCAGAACATTCATTACACCCTGAAGAAGATTAGCAACTTCTCCATACTGTCTGCGCCTGGTCATGGCTCTGCAAGGAAATTAGAAGTTGAAAGTTCTTTAAAAACAACACCAAAAAAACCCATTAAGGACATGAGATATAGACATAGACAAAATTGCTCTAGCTCTAAAATATACATCAACTCAATTTAATAAACATTTACCAAATGCTGGATGTGTATGGTGCTGTGTTCTGGGTGATTTTGAAAAATAAAAAATAAAAAAAGATGTGGCCCAAATCCTCAAGGTGACACCATTCAATAAGGGAGAAAGTCAAGTACACATGAAAATAATTGCTAGATTAAATAGAAATACAAGTCATGTGCTACAAATGGTACAAAAATGTGTGAGTAGATGGATTCTCACTGGGTGGTGGGAGGAGAATCTTGTCAACTTGAATCTGGATTTGCATTGGGCATTATGGGATTAGCAGGGTTTTAACAGAGATAGAGATGTTACTATCTGAGGATTGTAGCATATGGACAAACCACACTATCTTTCAGGATACACATCTATATACATTTACAGGTTAAATCTGTAGGTTTTAAGCCAATATAAGCAACTCTGTGTCAGAGATGTTCACTTTCCCTACTGTAAGGTTAATGAAGCTTAAATAAAAGATGCAGATAAAATCAACAGTTACACACAAGGAAGTACAACTATTAGATCTAAATTTTTCATCAGGGTTGTTCTTTTACACTAAGTGTATAATTTATTATTTTCCTTCAGAGGCATTTGAAAAGGCAGGCTCAAGTTCAAGCCAAGGTGTTATGTTGCTACCACTGGACACTTGAGGAAAGGAATATCGCAAACTGTTCTTCCAGTCCCGCTGACTTGTTCTCTGGCTGATCACTCCTTGCACGAGAAAAGACTAGGGATTCCTTGATGTCCAGGCTACACCCAGGAGTGCTCCAAAGGAGTCTGCTCTCTCTTCTTTCCTTCCAAGCATTCCTTTATTCCCATCATCCCAAGATTTTGGATACTGTATCAACATTTCTGTGAAGAGGCTCTTTCTCTGTCCTTTAAGAAATTACACTGAGGCTGGATCAGAGGAAATTCTCAGCCTGACACAGACTGTAGAGGTAAACTGAAATGCTAGAGAAGGAGGATTTGGATGGATCCTTTCCAGTAAATAACCAGCTCCTACTTTCAAACCTATTTTTAAGGTACTCTGTCTCATTCCCTCTATCAGCCAAACAGGAAGCTTCCGTCTTTGGAAAAAAAAAGTGGGAGGCTGAAGCAGGAAGATCACGAGTTTAAGACCAACCTGGGCAACACAATAACACCCAATCTTAAAAAGAAAAAAAAAAAAAAAAAACCAAGATGGGTTGATGATACATCAAAGATCTGTTTCCATAGGTGAAGGTGACAGACTGTGCAACTCAGTCCAATACCAGCAGGAAAACTTTCCAAAATAGAGGCTGCTGGGAGTGATTCTGGACCTGAATCACCCTGTCTGCCATAATGGTATAGCTCACGTGTGAATCCCATTCTTGGAATCATTCTCACGTACTTTCTGGATCCCCCTCAGATTGAATCTTGTGGGCCCCAAAGAGAAGTCTACATTGCTTACTCAAGGGAATCCACACCACCTGCCAACATGTGCAGGTGGTTTAGCGTCGTGATTGAGGTGGTCAGGTGGCGTTTGGCATGATCTAACTGCTTGATATCACGGGTGATTTCTTTGACCTAAATATTGAAAAACAACAGAAAAGAGAAATGTTAAGAAAGTTGTTAACACTTTTGTGAGCAACTCCTCAAGAAAATAATGCACATGAAGCAAGGAAAAAAACCTTCAGATAGCCCTGGAGAAATCACAAATATCCTCACAATTCAAAATCAAAATCATTTCTAATCTGCCCCTTTAAATTTAATTTGGCATTTCTTCAGACTTTATATAACAGGGTTACAAAACCCTCAATGGTGAAAAATAAGTTAATTTTATTTGTCACCCTCAACAAAATGACCCAAAGAGCTTATAGGGTGCAGGAGCCAAGTTCAGCACATCTCCTTTTTGTTTTTAGTTATAGATGGACACAATAACTTTATTTTTATTTTTATGTGGTGCTGAGGATCGAACCTAGGGTCTCACACATGTGAGGCAAGCATTCTACCGCTGAGCCACAATCCCAGCCCAGCACATCTCCTCTTGAATAAGGTCAAAATAGTGTGACTTCTGCATGAATCTACTGGGTTCAGCACAAAATGGAGAGTGAGGCAGCTAGTTTTACTGAGATGGTCTTTACTAATGGAATTAGGGTTTATTGGTTAGTCTGCAGCAAAAAAAAAAAGGCTTTCAAATCTCAAATTTAACTCCTGTAACATGAGCTTAACATGGAGCATTGTAAGAGAAGAGGGACTTTAGGGAGCAAGAAGGCAATCTGGGGAATAAAATTCTGAGAGTGCTGCTCCAGCAGGCCTGAGAGAAAGAGACTCTATCTGGGAAAACAGGTGTACTTCAGTCACTGGGAAAAGTGGATTCAACAGAGAAGGTGGAGAAGTCCTCCAATTTTACTGACACCTAAATGAACTCTTTGACTAAACCAAGGCCATGATAACTGAGAAACATTCTTTTTTTTTTAAATTTTTTTAGTTGTAGATGGTTTTAGCTTCAATCCTAACATCATTAGGGACTTTAACTGCTATGTTTAAAGTCATAGTCATTAGTGTCCCTTCTCATTCTCTGCACTATTCATCAACCATTAAATCCTGACTATTCTTCCTCTGCCTAATCTCAAGAATCTATCCCTTACTTTCTCACTGCACTCACCAGAGCTGGCCAGTTTCTGCATTCCCAGGATCTCCTTTACTCCCATTACATGTCCTGTGCTGCTTTAAACAAACTGAGCTACTTGCTTTTCCCTAAACACAAGCCTCATTGGTACAGCAAGGGGTGCTCAGGTCAAACTTACATGAGCCGATTCTGCAGAACTGATTACTCATGGTTAGTTTACCCTGTTTGTTGTCCATGGGCATCCAAACATGATATGCTAGATTTTAGAGTTAGGCAGGTCTAGGGCTAAATTCCAGCTCTACCACTTTTCAATTCTGTGTCACAGGCCAAGCTTCTTAGCCTTACCAAGTCTAGGTTTTCTAATCTATAAAATGATAATCGTCAAAATAATAATGATAATGAAACCTAGTCCATAAGATCATCAGGAGGGCTAAGTTAGATTGCATGTAAAAAAGAAGTGGCATTGGGTCCAGAAATAAGTCCACACATTACAAATCAATTGATTTTTGACAAAGATTCCAGGAAGACACAATGGGAAAAGACAATTTCTGCAATGGGATAACTGGTTATTCACACACAGAAGAATAAAATAAGACCTTGTGTCTTACACCATTCATAGAAACTAACTCAAAGTGAAATCAAGACTTAAATATAAGATCCAAACTGTAAAATAGATGGAGGAAAATAAGAGGAAATCCTCTATGATATCAGTGTGGTCAATTATTTTTTGGATATGGACCCAAAAGTACAGGCAACTAAAGTAAAAATAGATAAATGGGATAACTACTGAACAATAGTTTTTAGACCCTGATTCGGCAATGAAGGAGTGTGAATGAGAGAAAAGAAGTAAATGAAATGAGTCTCATTGCTCTGGATATGTGGGAAGTCAATTTGTGGACATAATATAGGGGAGGATAGCATAAGTGGAACCTGATTTTGTTTGTTTTGTTCACATGGTTAATATTGGGTTTTGAATGTCACACTGACCTTGCTTTTCTGGAATAAACCTCATTTGTTCTTGGGGAAAAAAAAGGAAGTGGCACCCCAGGTATAGTGGCACCTGCTTGTAATTCCAGTAGCTCAGGAGGCTGAGGCAGAAGGATCTCGAATTGAAAGCCAGCCTCAGCAAAAAGCGAGATGCTAAGCAACTCAACGGGACCCTGTCTCTAAATAAAATACAAAAAAGGGCAGGGGATGTGGCTCAGTGGTCTAGTGCCCCTTGGTTCAACCCCTAGTGCCAAAAAAAAGGAAGTGGCACCATGCTTGGCACATTAAAAGAACTCAACAAATACCAGTTCTCTCCTCATTCCTTCCTCCTCTTCCCCTTAGCAAAGCACTGTCCAGGGAAGCAAATAAGACATCTAATAATGCCAGACGCAGCTTACTTGAATGACAGGTCATTGCATGCCCCATCTGGAAGAGGAAGCATAGTCCAGAATAGCAAATTAGAAACAGAAGATGACTTATGAGCAAAAAATGAGTACAATAAACTCTAGCAAAAGTTGCATTTGACGTGTCACCTAATAATCACACTTCAACAGCCCCTGGTAGGCGTAGTTCACTCTTTGGAAAGGACCATAAATCCAAATCCCTAGTACTCTATTCAGTTCTCTTCATATATTTAATTCTCACAATAACCCTGTTGACATAGATGCTGTCATTCTTATTTTATAGTTGAAGAAACTGAAATCCAGATGCATCATATTACTTAAAATTTCAATCCAGGAGATTGCATCTCAGTGTCTCCATGGAATAACAGTGGTGACTGCTGATCTTTGGTCAGCAGAGTGGCCATCTGAGTACATCCCAAGAAACCACAAATTTGAGGAACAAGAACTTAATTAATTTCTAAGGAGTCAATTGTTTTGGACCCTTTTTATTTTTAAACTGTTAAAACATCTGGATGCCTTTTGTGGATAAAAGTAGTGCCTCTCTTTTTTTTCATTGGTAGGGTTTTTTAAAATTGTATATAAGTTGATTTTTTTGGTAAATTCATTTTTAATGCTTGAATATTGAAAGAACATACATTACTAATTCTGTATATTTAAGAATCTTTTAGAAAATACTTTCCGATTTATATCTCAATATATGCTCTCTTCATTTGTCCAATATTTAAAATATGTAGTCTCTATTATTGCTATTTCCTAATAGCTTTTAGATTCCAATATGTATTAGAATTTTGGCTCTCAAAGTTGCAAGTAAAACTGAACAATTTCTTATTAAAATTATTGGGTTTTTATGTGTAATGTTAACACTTTAAGTAAAATTAGATGTGAAAATAGCAAAGGAATATATATGACTCAACTATTTTCTGTCTATCAAAGTTTCTAAACATGATACTCTGTTTGCCATAATAAAAAAAGTTCATTCTGGAAAAAAAAAAAAAAAAAAAGAACTTAATTAAAACTATATGTATGTAAACTGAGCAGGGTGCACCCCATCTCCCAGATCCAGGACCAGTTTTAGTGTGCTACCAAGTTACATATCATCATGTATCTTGATTGAGAAATACGTGATAAACAAATGCTAGAGAAAAAGCATCCAAAATGACTAGGAAACTATTTTGGGGAAAAGAAGAAAACTTTTCCTATTTAAATATGGGAATGAAAATGTAGTGCAGGAGGGACGGTGAGTCACCATTGTCTAGCAGCTCCCCTTGAGTCAGTCCGTAATGCACTCACAGGGACTTGCCTGAGAGATGTGGATGACTGTGGCTGGCAGGAAGTGGGGGAAAAAGTTCATTAATTACCATGACTGAGAGAGAAACTAACTTCCTCTGCGGATGCAAAAAAGCTAGGAGGAAACCTAAACTCACCATTTGTTCTGATTTTTCTGCTTTGTCTTTGATATCTTTGATTTTGCCGAAGAGTTGTTGAATAGCTTTCTGGGCCTCTTCAAGTGCCTAGATGAGAGAAATAAATGAAAAACAAGAAGCAATGCAAGACAGCACCAATCACTACATCATAATCAATTCCAGCCTCAAAAGAAAATTACCATAAAGCTATCTTGATTCACTGTACACATGCTGACAATTTTACTGTACCAAAATAGTAGTGAAATAAGAGTCTAAAATTTAGATATAGGCAAATGCTTGGGACTCTTACCAATCTTCATCATAAAGTTTTAATTTAAAAACTAAGCCATTTTGCTCTATTTTGGTGATTACATGCTATTGATGACAACAAATAAACAGGACATGCACATCTGTGTGTGTGTGTGTGTGTATGCGTGCGCGTACACGCACAATAACCTTCAAAACCTGTAAAGAGATACAGGTGGCTCTAAGTTAGGGATAGGGAGAGCTCTGGATTTGGAAAGTTCCAGGAGACTGTGTCTTTAAAAAAAAAAAATCAGAACTGTGTATGGGGGTTCCAGTATTGTAGCAAAACTTGAAGACAACTATAGTGTTGCACTTAAAATACCAATGAAATGAAATTAGAAAGGTACACTTGAATGGTGAACCAAATGTGTCTATGGAAATAAAAACCTATAAATATGGATGCTACACATTAAAACTAAGACAACCCGTAGTATCTTTTGTGAGTAAGGACAGCAACAGGAGGGAGTTGGGAGGATGTTAGTGCTACATACTTGTAGAACACATGCACTGCACTGTCCCTTTACTGAGGGTGACCTACAGCTGAAACACTGCTCTAAGTTCCTTGGCAGCTGGAGTGCCAGCCACACCAGGCAGCATTTCATTCACTTCTTCGCTCATTCAACAAGAATATACTGAATATGTCCCATATGCCAAGGAATGGAAGAGAAGACAAGAAAGCCAGGGATTGAGCCCTTAGGCACTAACACTGGGAAGTCATGAAGAAAAGAACAAAAGAAAAGAACAAAAATGCAAGAGGAAAATCGTGAGCAACATGAGAGAAAACCAAGGACAATGATGTCACAGAAGCCAAACAAAAGTATTTAAAGGAGGAAAGGAGTGATTGTATCTTATGTTGTAGAAAATTCATGTAAGATTAAGATAGAAAACTGCAACTGAACTCAACAAGGAAGTTGCGTGCTGATGACCTTGACAAGAGCAGTTTCAGTGCAGTGCAGGAGGATGGAAGCGGAGAGTGCCATGATGGAGAGAAACAGTGATACAGAGCAGGGACAAGCAAATGATGACCTGTAGGCCAAATTCAGTCTGCTATTTGCTTTTGTAAATAATGTTTTTTGGGGGGAAATGGCTCATTCAGGTATTATCTATGATTACTTTTCACCCTAGTGAGGATGGTCACCACAGAGACCATACGGTCCACAAAAACTGAAACATTTACTGTATGGTCTTTAACAGAAAAAGTTTGCATTATGCCTACTATAAACTACTTTTCCAACAAGTTTTTGCTATGAGAAGACAAGAAAATAGGGTAATAGATGAGTAAAAGAATTTTTTTTTAACTGGGTACTGAACTCAGGGACTTGCTCAGGCAAGACAAGTATTCTACCACTGAGCTATATCCCAGTGCTAAAGGGAGTAATTTTTAAAGATAAGAGATGCCTATAAATGTCTGTTATATAAATCAGTATAAGAGAAACTCATTGCAGGAGGTACAATGGAATAATTTTAGAAGGACTTTTTAATAATGTTCTTGCATTGTCTAAAGTGTAAGGATTAGCTGTCTAACAAGAGTTATATAATCCTTTGAGTATACACCAAGGACATGAATAGCTTTCTAATGTGTCCTATAATTAAAGCACTCATCCATCCTAGTTTAGCCAGGACAGTCACAGTAGATGACTACTGACTCAGTATAATTACTAACAACTCCCTCTCACTGTCAAAAGTGATGCTGTTAATAAGCTATATGGTCACCTTGCCTACAGCATCAGCCAAAGCTATAGCATAGCTGGAATTCCACAAATTTTTGCCAACTGATTTAAAATACCACCAGGGACAGTGTTGCATGCCTGTAATTCCAGCTACTCAGGAGGCTGAGGCAGGAAGATTGCTAGTTGGAGGACAGCCTCGTCAATTTAGTGAGAACTTCTTTCAGAATACATTTTAAAAAGAACTGGTGGTGTAGTTCAGTAGTAGAGTGCTTGCCTAGCAAGACCCTAGGTTCAATCTTCAGAACTGAAAAGAGAAAAAAATGAGCCAATCATACAAGTGGCAATGCTGAGATTATTGCTCTGTATGAAGAGCGCTGACACCCATCACTCCCCCTAATTTCCGGGATCAATTACAAGCATTAGTTCAAAATCACAGCATCACACTTGCTACTGATATAATCTATTTGGCTAACATGGAGTCTAATGCCCTAGATGCTCCAAGGGGGTCAGTAAATTCTAAACCCACTGAACACTTCTAAAAACTGTTGGGTTATATGAAAAAGTACATTGGAGACCTTGCAGGCAAATGACCACTAGAAAAGACTGACCTTCTTGGGCATGGCTTGCATAAAATTCTGTGATATTGCAGGTCATGTCATGTTATAGTGACGTGCTGACATAGCCAAACACCCCGAACACATGACATTCAGCCAGGAAGGCAGAAAGGGCTAAGGTCTATACTTAGATTTCTAAGTCTAAACAAGGACACACCATCCTTCCTAAGGGAAAGAGTTCTATCTCTGTTCCCCCCTTATTCTCAATCTGGCATCCTACCAGAACTGTCTCCACTGAAAGTAGCACTTTTTTCCTCCAGCAAACAAATAAGACTCACACAATCTTACATTTCATAGTCTTTAAGAAAGATAAACAGTCTGCCAGATTACAGATTTTTTTTTTCAGGCTGGAATACTTTTGCTTTTTATAACAATGTACTAAAGTTGGTGAAATTTAATATAATTCATTTTCCAGAGTCAAAAAGTTCCTTGAAGCATTCATTCTATCAAGAAAGTCCATTCTCATAGACACCCTAATTTTGATATCTAACCTCTAATAATCAATAACACAGAGAAGAACATTTTGTAATTGGAAGAATCACAAGAACTATAAAAGGATTTTATTTTTAAAAAATACTAAAATACTTTTACTACCTGGGTAATCAGAAAATGTGCTGAAAGATTGATTCTGGCATTGTCCCTAGACACTCTTTAAAATAAAATGTAGCTACTTTCCATTCCAAACTAGATGTGGACTAAAAACAGAACTAATTGCCCCAAAATATCTGCTTTCAATCTACTCTGAATTTCTCCCTCTACGTGGACTTTCTGAATCATGCACCGATGTGTGGCTGCAGCCTGCATCTGAGGGTGTTATTAGGCAGCACTTTCTATGGTGGCCCTCTTTAACTCAAAGTCTATATTCAGGATATGAAAAGCAACCCACTGAGCTAGCTTCCAAGTCTCAGCAAAACCAATTACAATACCTATTTTTTCTGTGCATCATTCAGTGTATCCCTTACTCTTAATTTTCCTTGCCTTCTGAAGGAGCCTCTGAACAGGCTCCCAAGCCACACTAGATCATATTCAAAGAAGATAAGCAGTATGGGATCTGGCCCAGGCTCTACTGCTTTCTTCTCCCCTCCATACTCTTATTTTCTGAAGACCTGTTGTTAGCCTCCTGTGTAGATAAAGGGGCTCTGAACCAATGGAAATGCTTTAAGAAATCAACATTGCCTCTAGTCTTAAAATGCATCTAATTTTGAAGTTTGCTCTATCAGAGAATTATATTGCCTTATTCTGTGCCTTTATATTGCTTTATTCAGGCAGTCTTTCAGAGATTTTAAACTGAGATCCTATTTGTTTTCACTGCAGGAAGGAGAAAAGGTTGTTCATTTTCAGAAGAACTGGTATGGCTTTAGACTGTTCTTTGAAAAAAAAAAAACAGATGCTAAATCCAAGGTACTAGGAAGAAACTTACAAATTTTTCATCACTCTGTTATCATTTCTATTTTCCACCTTCCCATCTACCTGCTAGTTCTTTTCTTTTCTATTTATTGCATGGAAAACAATGCACTGTATTAGTTAAAGCAAGAGTTTTTTAGCATTGGGATTTGATGCTTGGCCTTGCCATTGAATAGTATGATCTCTGTTAAACCACTAACCTTCTAGAGGGACAGTTTCATAATTTCTAGAACAGAAAATAACATCACCTATATCAAAAACATTCTGTTTAGGAAGGAACACAGGGCTAGGGAGTGAACACCTTTGGAATTGTTGGCCCAGTATTCTTTCTCCCCCAGCCAATCTTTTCTCAATGTTTCCTTTAGAGTCCACTGCCCAAACGACAGAGAAGGCTCAAGCTGGGCCAATCAGAGTTTTCCTGTGATATTTACAGACCTGGATTGGGAAAGAGGGTTCATCTATCTGGTAGTAGAAGAGGGTTCATCTATCTGAGTTAGATAGCAATGAGGTTCCCCAGGAACAGGAGGAAGCTGGTCTCCAGCTTATGCAGCCCATAAAGAGATATAGACTTAGCTGATATGAAGTAGTGCTTCATTCCTGGGCTGCAGCTGCATAACAAGTTCAGTTGAGACACTCCTCTTCCCACAGCTAGATTGTTCAACTTCCTTCAAATCAAGACACAATAGTATCTTTCCAAATAATCCCTTTTTGCTTAGGATATTTATTTATTTACAGTATAAAATCTGGAGATTTAACCCAAATAGCCGAGCAACAAATTGACCACACAGAAACTTATGCTAGACAGCAGATAAAAAAACCCAAGCCAGCCAATTATGCTGGACTTTAGTGACTAAGACTACATTTACCTTTATGGATAATTGTTGGAAAGATTATTAAAATAAATTTTTCCAAGGGTATTTGTATTACTGACAGACCTAATTAACTCCTTAAATATGAGAGTGAAGAGAAAAAATGATAAATATCCTGTAGCCTATAAAAATACAACTTATTGCCTCATTAATTATTGCCAGCTAATATGTCAGAACTATAATATACTGAAGTTAATATTCAGGCTTTGAAACAGGTATATGTCTATTAACCAGACCTAGACAAA